GGAGGCGGAGGGGAGAGGGGGGGGGGGGGGGGGGGGGGAGGGGGGGGCGTCCGCCCGCCCCCCGCCCTGCATTTGCCCGCCCCGGGCTATGTTCGAGTAAGGAGCCGCGCTGCAGGGAAAAGCGGGAGGCGGAGGGGAGAGGGGGGGGGGGGGGGGGGGGGGAGGGGGGGGCGTCCGCCCGCCCCCCGCCCTGCATTTGCCCGCCCCGGGCTATGTTCGAGTAAGGAGCCGCGCTGCAGGGAAAAGCGGGAGGCGGAGGGGAGATGTGGGGAGGGGGGGGGGAGAGGATGCCGGGCTGGCGAAGGGAAGGGATGGCGGGGAGCTGCCGCGCGGTCCCGTCGGGCAGGGAGGAGGAGGAGGAGGAGGAGGTGGCGGAGGCTGCGGTGGTCCGGACGCGGGGCCAAAGGTGGGTGGGGTGGGGGTGGGCTTGGCTGCGGCTGTGGGGAGCTGGCAGGGCGGGTGAGATCCGAGCGGGAAGAGGGCATCGGAGCCCCCCAACCCCCCGGAGTCCTTGGCGATCGCCGGCAGGGCTCGCTCGGCGTCCGCCGGGCTTTTTGGCTTCGCGAGTGGGGTTGGTGGTGGCTTGTCAGCTGGCAGATGGAGGGAGGAAGGGATGGACGGACAAAGGAGCTGCCGGGGGCGAGGGAGAGAGAGGGAGGGAGGGAGAGAAACAGAAAGAGAGGGAGAGATTGAGGGAGGGAGAGAGGGGGAGAGAGAAGGAGGAATGGAGAGAAACAGAAAGAGAGAGAGAAGGAGAGAGGGAGAGACAGAGAGAGGGGGGAGAGAAGGAAGAAGGGAGAGAAACAGAAAGAGAGAGCGAAGGAGGGAGGGAAAGACAGAGAGAGGGGGAGAGAGAGAAGGAGGGAGGGAGAGAAACAGAAAGAGAAAGAGGAGGAGGGAGGGAAAGACAGAGAGAGGGGGAGAAGAGGAGAGCCAGAGAAGGAGGGAGGGAGAGAAACAGAAAGAGAGAGAGAGAGGAGGGAGAGCGAGGGCTGGTGGAAGGGAGTGCGTGGCATCCTTGAGAACGGCGGTGGTTGTTTTGGAGGGCGGAGGGATGCCACTTCTCTTCCTCTTCCCTCCCTCCCCCCCCCGGGTTTCGATCTAGCCGCCCGTCTTTTTTCCCCCCCGGGGGCATCGGCGATTCGCTGCCGGTCGCCCTTTGGGTTGTGTGTGGTGTAGCGCCTTTGTTGCGCGGGGGCAAATGCAGGTCTCCGCTCCCGGGTGGGTTGGCGGGCGCGCGCGGGCGCGGCTGAAGGACCCCCGTGGATGATCCTTTTCCAGTCGTGATGTTATATCGAGCCACGCTGCCCATCTCCAAGCCTGCAGGACCAACCAGCTGAAGGGCTGATGGACCTCAATGTCTGGACAACGCCGGAATGGTTGGCTTCAGATTATTCCATTAATCAGTAATAAAACCCGTGTTTGTGTGTGTGTGTGTGTGTGAGCGCGCGCGTGCATGTGCTTGTGCGCATTCACACAACTTGCCCAGCCTGGGTTGTTTTTTTTAAACCGGGTTGGCTTTTGGTGGTATCATATCTTGTGTGAGGCCAGGCTGTTTGGTTAGTTTATGGGTTCCCTATATTTTGAATTACAGCTTGTGTGTATGGGGTAAATGCACCTTTCCATTCTTTCTCTCTCTCTCTCTCTCTGTCTCTCTCTGTCTCTGTCTGTCTCTCTCTCTCTCTCTCTCTCTGTCTCTCTCTGCCTCTGTCTCTCTCTCTGTCTCTCTCTCTGTCTCTCTCTGTCTCTGTCTCTCTCTCTCTCTCTCTCTTCCAGCCTTTGAACTGGTTTCNGAGCGCGCTTTTGTCTACCGCGGTTTTGTGGTGGAACCATTTTAAGGAAATACAGTACAGAGTGATCCATTTCATTTTAATTCCTATAGGTAGAAAAAAGAGTAAACTGGATTCAAAAGTTTGATGTAGAGCAGCTGATCAAATGCCTAAGATCATCCTTACGTATGTATTTACAAAGTGCTTTGAATTGGCATACAGTTAGGAAGTCCTTGATTTATGACAATTGGGAACTTCTGTGACTAAGTGAGGCCACCATTAACTGCATTTTTTTGCCATGGATTGTTAAGGGAATCCAGCTTCCCCCATTGACTTAGTTGGAATCTTGTAAAGAAGGTTGCAAGTGGAAACCACCTGACTGCAGGATGGTTCAACCATTGTAAACACAGGCTAGATGCCAGTGCCCAAATTTTGACCACATAACCATGGAGATGCTGCGACTGTTGTCAAGGTTATGCCATTGTAAATTTAAACAGTCGCTAAACAAACGGTCGTAAGTCGAGGACTCCCTGTAGATTTTACAGAGAATAAAATGTCTGATTGCTATCTCCAATTTAGGAGAATAGAATAGAAATACGAATAGAATAGAATAATAACTTTATTATCACTTTGAATGTACACTAATTGGCACAATGAAGGATCAGGATAGAAATGAAAGTGAAGTAAATGAAAAAAAAAAAGGATTTATTGTTTGTCAAATTGGTATGACTGCCTCTGTTCCAAACAAGGGCTTCAGCAATTAAAAACAATACATAAATATTACGGAAAGTTTTACAAAGTTCAAGGCTAAGAGAACAGTAGATATCAGTAACAATGGCACCCTCTCAGTATCTCAGAAATCCGCTGGGCATAAAACCTGGCCTAGAGCAAGCATATCAAGTTATTGGTAAGCATTGACTTATGAATATCTAGAGTTATTGATAAGCACAGTCAATATATTGGCAACAACAGTACAAGGTGTAGGAAACTACAATTCCCCAGTCCACCATCTTCTAGTCAAGACAATTTTATTCATCTTTTGGGGGGAATTGGGGATGTGTCCCATCCAGAGAAGATTTTGCTTTTGAAAAGAGGCGGTTAGCCATCAAACTATCGGTGAGCCTACAATAAAGCTTTACTTTTCCAAGATGGCAGCAGTGGGTTGGATCCAGGATATCATATCACCCTGAAATTCAGAGGGAGCTGAATGAGTCAGACTTGATGCATGGCTCACCAAGTTGAAACATACATAACATGTGTGACCCGACAAATGCGCCCACAACAGTGCGCCGATAGAAGCATGATTTAAGTTAAGGTAAGGGTCAGGGTTAGGTTTAGGGTTAGGTTTAGAGCGTGCTTCTGTCGGCGCACTGTTGTCGGTGCGCTTCTGCACTCATTTGTCGGCACGGTTTAGAACTCAGTTTTCTTGCCGCGGTTTCATCGGGCATGCTTTTGTCGGTGAACCCATAACATGTAAGCCTGGCATCCAATCCAGTGTATACACCATCTCCAAAGCACCCACAAACAGACGATCTGTCTCTGGATCTCAACTCTGGATTTCATTGGGGTCCCCCCCCATCCTCAAAAGGACCTGGTAACAGCAAAAGCCACGTCCCAATGTTGGGGCGCTGATGGGAAGCGGCTCCTTCTCACCCATCTTCAACTACACACATGTGCACCCGTGGGTGGGTGCAAGAAACAGGAGAGGCACCTCGTGCGGAGAGCACAGTACGTGCCTAGACAGGTGAGGCATCCTTCTGATTCGCCAAGGTCAAGAGCCGGCAACCTTCAGCACTCAAAGAACTATTTGCCGTTTCCCACAGAAAAAACACCGGGAGCCACAAAACCCTTCCCATGCCTGGCTATTTCCTGAGCGGCCCCAAAACTAGCATATGTAGTTGAATTAAACTTTTCTTGGATTTATCCATGGTTGCCCTACTGGGGGTCAAAAAGCTCAGTAAATCATATGCTGGTGGGTGTTGCCCATTGGCAGTTGTGGCACATATTTTGAGTGACAGAGAGCTGAAGCAGAGGGACGAAAGAGCCACATGCGGCTCCAGAGCCGCAGGTTGCTGACCCCTGTCCAAGGTCAACCACCTGAGATAGCCCGGGGCAGCTCGTAGGGCTCAGCAGGGTCCCCGTTTAACCGAGGAATTTGCCCCCGAGCTTGTGTTCTGCTCTTTCTCCGGGAAAAGAAGCGGGCGAAGCCGAATCGGGGCTTCATTACCCACCAGGCCTTCCTTCCTTGGGTATCCTCCTCTTCCCCCATCCCCCACTCCTCGTGTTTTCCCCTCCCCCGCTTTACACGCGAGCGGAAAGGTCTCCACGCACCCGCGGAGCTCCTCCCGCCCGCCCAGCCCGCCTGGCTGCCTGCTCCTAAGCGCCTCCCTTTCGCCGGGCTCCGTGCGGGGAAGCCGCCGAGCGAGGGGGTGGGTGCGACAAAAAGGGGCGGCCGCCGTCGAAGGAGGCAGGCGGGCAGGGAGGGCGGGCGGCAGAGAACGGCCTGCCTCTTCCTCCGCGCGGCACAACGGGGGCCGCCGGCCGGGACCCTCGCTCGCCTCTCCATCCCGGCCGGGCGGGGGAGGGGGGGGGGGGGAAACCAGTTCAAAGGCTGGAAGAGAGAGAGAGAGAGAGAGACAGAGACAGAGAGAGACAGAGAGAGAGACAGAGAGAGAGACAGAGGCAGAGAGAGACAGAGAGAGAGAGAGAGAGAGAGAGAGAGAGAGAGAGAGAGAGAGAGAGAGAG